AGACTTGCATTATTATTGGGGGGTTCTAATCACCAGATGATATTGCACTTTGCACAGATTTCCTGTAAACCTTACTCTAAATGCTTACTCTAAACTTAGGTCTACCATAAGCTTAAACTGATTGTTTAACATCATAGTTTAAAGTATGGGTGCTTCTGTCTGTAAAAGGAAGATGAGTCCTCAGTGTGTACAGAGAATTATAATGACATGTGTGATATCAATGCATAACTATAAATAAATTTAAATTAATTTGTATGTTTTTAATAATTTTTTTTAAATTTGACGTTAGGCTCAGAACCGCTCCTTATCAAAAAGGGAGCGAGTCCAAAGGACAGAGTTTACATTCTATTCATTTCGATAGACCTGGTAATTATATGTAACCTGGTGGAAGCAGTTTGTAGGAATAATGGTTCCTACAGGTTCACACCGCACTGCAACAAGGGTTCCATATGTGACCTCTTCAATCATTAATGAACAAAATATGGAAACAGAAAGTTGAGTAACAAAGAAAACACATTTTATGGTACCACAAAGTGCCATAGTTAGACAGATTCGTGTTTCACAAGAACAAGCATTTTAGCGTTTAAGGACACCAGGTTAAAATAAATCAAGTAACTAAACAATGACCTAACGTCTGAGCTGTAAACAGTATAGCAGATAAAAGAAAATCAGACACACAGACGGACATATGTGTAGACAGCAAGACGATATAACCCACACTTGTTTGGAGTAAGAAATACAGAATTATATATGAATTCAAACAGAAGGCGGGACATGTTTTACCTCTGTCAGCTAAGCAGATGGTGGCACACAGCAGCACACATGACAAAAATATTTTCATTGTGAATTCAGACCAAGTCGATCCAACGGCTCACTAGAAATGGGACTCCAGCTCACCTGGCTTTCTGAGAAAACACATGCACCTAACACTAACTGGGGTCAAAATTCACAGTCCACACAGATAATATCACAGAAAGTTGTTGTGCTATTACATTTCAGCATTTTCACCTGGTTCGTGTACAGCCATAGGCCTCATAAGGGGCAATAGTTAATTAGGCGAGCAATTCTGAGTAAAAATCACAGGGCCATTACAAAGAATCTGAATATACTGAAATATTTTATAGCTTTAACAGCAGCAGTGCTTGATTGCTGAGCCTAGATTATCCAAGTGGCATTCTGGGCAAACAAACAAAAGCGCTTCTTTCTCCACTAACATAATAATCTGGGTAGGCTATTTAAGAGAATGAAACAAGTAGGAGTTAGGTAAGCAAAGGAAAGCAGAGGACAAGAAAAAAAGGTGTGCCATTTTTATGAAAGTTGCCTACTGAGAATTGCTTTGCTCAACATTAAAGTTGCTGAGAAAATCTTCAGTATGCCGACATGTCTGTGTCCTGATGGTAGATTTAACATGAACTCGAAGAAATTAGATTTGAACTCATGAATAAACCCAGGCTCTCTGTTTTCAATCGAATGTCTGATTCGATCATTCAAAAACATTAGTGAATTGTTATCAGGATATTTCCTTTGTGGATGGATGTATACACTGTGTGTACATCTATCTTAGAGTCTCAGAGCTTATCCCAGCTGCTATGTGATGAGAGGCAAAGTACAAACTGTAGCACAGCTGCCAGCAATTTAGAGTCATTAATCTAACCTAACTGTAATTACCTCGGGAGGAAGCTCCAGAGAAAACCCACGCTGGAGAGACCCACGGTGAGAACATGCAAACTCCACACAGAAAAATCAGATCATGATGGAAAGCTAGATGGTTGGATTTGAACCCGAGACCAGGGGTGGGGTTTTTGATGCTGACGTTTCCTCACTGTGTCGAGCTCCCAAAGCACAGATGTTTCTGAAGTGGGGTATCACTGGTGCTCTTATGGTTTTCAGATTGTTTGTGCCAAAAAGCGATGGTCTGCCAAAAAGTGATTTCCAGTATTTAAACTGCTGAAAATAATTTGTTGTCTTTAATATGTGAAACATATGTCAAATGACATCAAGTCACAAACAACATTTCTGCCACAAGGTAGATGCTGTAATCAGTTTTTTGGCAAAGTGACTTGCATATATTGCTTATTTGTCCAGTTAAAAAGTCTTGTTGACATTAAAAATGTCTTTTTGAAGAGAGACCTGGCCAAGAAAGCAGCAGAAATGGCAACAAGTATAACAATAGTCCTATAAAGATATTTTAAGTGGCCAAACACTAATCACTACTAATCACTACTCAGGACCTTTTTACTGTGGTAACCTTAAATGCTATGTCATAATCAATATAATAATTATAATCATTTTTTAAGCCTTTCTATTGAAATCTAGCTGGCTAGTATCCATCAGACATCTGTGTCCACGAGTACGTAAGCTCACGATCCCTGTATGTCTGTCACTGAGGCTTTGATGCAATATAACTGCAGCTGGAGCTGAACTCCTGAACATTTAGCGCCCCCTGTTGAACTCTTTGATATGACAGCGTGTGTAACCTGAGTGTGCGAAATACTTCCAAGACCACATCAAGCCAGAATTTGATTCGTAGATTTTTAAGTTTTAAAGGTCACTTGTTCGTGTTTAAAGGATATTTTCTTTCTCATGCCACATAAATCGATTGATTAGAAGACACAGTGTGAATAAAAGACTTTTATTCTGAAGGATCGTAAACGGAAACGCTTTTAGTTTTGGCGGAAGGCTGTGGGTGGGTGAGGTGCTGAGGTTAAACGTCAGCTGAGTTCAACGCGGTTTATTTCACCATGTCTCGATTCAAAGGGGGGTGTAAGGATTCTCTGGCGGGCTTTAAGGTGCAAACGGCAGAGCCGACTGTTCCGTACGGCCTTCTGAAGGCGGCCCGGAAGAGCGGGCAGCTCAACCTGTCCGGCCGAGGACTGAAAGAAGGTAATTTTATGTTAGCTCACACATACAGCACCACTAAAAGACCAGATCTGCCATTGATTTAATTTTTTAAAAAAAGTAACCTAATATATAATAATAATAATAATAATAATAATAATAATATGACTACACGTTTTCTTCCTCGCTGGACTTCTTTCAGTATATATTTTGACTGAACAAACTGAACCTTGATATTCCCATATTGCTCATGTTTGAACACTGACACATGATCCTGCCTGTTTCCAAAAAGTATATTTTACGCCAGTGTAAGTCTCTCTGCTTAATGTACACTGCTTGTTAATGTAAACATGTAATCAACCGGCCACATGGCAGCACCCCATTTATTCATGTAGACAGGGTTAAGACGACGTGAGTATAAATAGAGTATGAGAATGGGGAAGAAAGGGGATCTAAATGACTTTAAAAGTGGGAGGATTGTTGGTGCCAGTCTGGCTGGTGAGTATTTCAGACACTGCTGATCTGCTGGGATTTTCCTGCACAACCATCACTGGGGATTACAGAGCATAGTCTGACAAAGAGAAATATCTGGTGAGCAGCAGTTATCTGGGGGAAAATGCTTTGTTGATGCCAGAGATCAGAGGAGAATGGTCACAACACTTTGACCTGTTAGGAAAGCAACAGCAATTTAAAAAAAAAAAAGTTAGCTAACAAAGTCAGACAGATAAGGCTGAAATGGTTTGGACATGTGCAGAGAAGGAATAGTGTGTGTATATATTTGATGAATGATGATGAAGATGGAGCTGCCAGGCAGAAGGAAGAGCTTTATAGATGTAGTAAAGGAAGATATGTAGAGGGTTGGTATGGCAGAGGATGCTGAGTGAGATGGAGGCAGATCCACTGTGGCGACCTTCTAAAAGGTAGGCCCAGCCGGAAAAAGTTTATTGTTCTTGTTGCTGTTGCAAAGGTTAAGATGAAACCTGGGGTCCAGGAATTTATTGGCTTTGTTACTTTGTGACTATTACCATGTTGTGCATACCTTCATGGCAATGGTCTCTTTCCACAAAAAAATTACAATGGCCTTTGTTGTGTCAGGTGAATGGTAAATGGCCTTTATTCATGCTTATACAACTTGCCTCATTCATCCATTCACACAAGCATAGGTTTATGATTTGTCCAAGTAAGCGCTTTCTAACATTTGCACACATTCATATTCTGATGGATTCATCGGAGAGCACACAGGGTTAAACCTTGCCCAAGGATATTTGGCATGGGAGCAGCCAGGGATCGAACTTCCAACCTTGCGATTAGTAGATGACCTGTTCTATCTTGTGAGCTACAGGCACCACTTTTTCTTACTACTATTATTATTATTAT